CACATCAAATGTTGCATTGGCCATTTCCTGGCACATTCCACGGCGTCTGAGCAAACTGATTTGGGCATTCAATTCTCCAAGCCTATCAGCTAGCAAACTGCGATAACGTGGTTTCCACTCTGTGCTGGTAAACCTTGCGATTGCACGAGCCAGATAGCCATTCAAGCTTCTATCCCTTCCATATGCAATGCGAAGGTATTGGGTGCGTCCAGCTTCAAGTGTGACCTTGAGATCTTGTGCAACATAGCCGATCTCTTGTGCACAGTAGAACATGAGGATACCGCACAACCAACTGTCGATCAGAGCATTCACATCATCACCATGGCTTTTCGAATCTAACGTGAATGTACTCCGAATGATCCTGTCAATGCATCTATTTATCACGTCCATGTACGAGATATTCATAGATGTGTTAATCCCTTGTGTTGCACGTATACCAAAAAGAAGCCCAGACAATGCTCTCACAAATTTCTTGTCACCAGTGGCACGTCTGCAGGTGTTGTCGACGCTCTCCAACAACCCGTCCATTGCCCTGATCCAATCGTAATTGTGATCAATTTGGGTCCCAGCTTCTTTAAGCAACTGGTAATAGCGTTTCATATCCTGCTTTGAATGCTGCGCGTTAAAATTGCGGAAGTCGTAGGCGAATGCCCACGTCCGCCTGTGCATATGTTCGGACATACGCAACATGAATTTGAGCTCATCGATGGCCTGCAATCCCAGGTCCGTCACAATGCTTGAGCCCCGGTACATAGATTCCTCTAATTTGGCTGTCGCCCACGCGGAGATCAAGTAGTGCACCACATCTCCTGCGAAGAGGGTCCTTACTGCTTCCTCTTCGTATTTGAGACTTCCGGTGCTCGAACAGATCCCGTCCTCTTCGAGCCTTTTCCTGAGCTCTGCTTTGGACAGTAGGCTAATCGCCCCCTTCTTGGTCAATCTGATCATGTATCTTTTGCTGCTGGTGGCAGCCTTTTGTCCGTTCAGCTTCCGTGTGATGTTGAGCATGAACTTGGATTGTGCTGCAAATCCTTGAGTCCCGATGCACCACAATTCCTGCCAAAAAGCATCAAAAGTGAGAAGCTTGGTACCATACCCTGCTCGCACAACATTTTCACGGAGCCTGTCAGCCACGTCATCCATGTCTGTTTGGTATTGAGCTTCTGTCCATTTTTGTTTTGCGACATCGAAAGCTCGTTTTCCTGGGAGATCTTTCTGCCTGTCAGCAACTTCTTCCTCCCTTTCATCGCTGAAATTTCCGCGACCTACAAGTACATGCAAGTATTGCCACGCATAATATGCTCTGACCTGCTGTCTGTCATCATCATCGAACTTGAGCATACCAACTGGTGGCTTTCCAAACTTGTGTACTAGAGTTGTCAATTCCTTGGTATACGCCAGGAATGAAAGTCGCTCCATCTGCAGCATTCTTCTTTCTTCCATGTAGCTCCATACTGCATCGAGTCCTTCACAACCGCTCGCGAAATACAAGATCAAAGCTGCAGCCCAACTTGCATCCTCGCCTTCAAGGCAGCGCAATATTTCATGCACTCTATGGGCGATGTTGCGTTTCTCTTGCTTACTCTTCTTTTTGTAGGCACGAGCAACTATCTTGACAGCCGTTCCAACATTGACTCTCAGATGTTCATCCCTTTCGTGCTGGTACGAGAAGGCACTGTCAATAGTTCTTGTGTCAGCACACCCACCAAGTATGTCTGCTGCAGCTCTCATCGCTGGTCGAAGTTCTCCTTGGACATTCCTCAATTTATGTTCTTCGCCATCGAAAAACTTTTGATAGAAAATGAGGCTCTGTTTGCAGCTCTCCGCCTTTTCCTGGCATGCCTTGTACATGGTGTTGCAGTGGTCATGCAACACCCAGCTAGGCAAGGGGGTAGGATGCCATCAGTGTGGAAGATAGCATACATTCAATGGTTGCTTCAATGCCCAGGGGTGCGATTGCACTTTCTGTGCCGTCGCGTGTCAGTGCATGACATAAGAAAAGGTGCCCCAACGCATTTGCTTTCCGCTTGGATGCCGTTGTTTGAAGAACACTGCCGTGCGGCGCAGCTTTCGAGCACACCAGAAGAGGTCAGGTGCACGGAGCGTTTGACAGAGAGCCCGTCAGACTGCGCCCGATTGGTGGCTGAGAGTTTCTTGGAACACTATCAGATTCAGAGGTCATCCACAGCGGAGGCTACAGATCACAACGTCGTGAGCTTGCAAAGGGTTACAGCGTTCGCAAATCATCAGGTCCAGAATTCTGGTGAATGTCAGCAGTGGGACACAGCTGCAAGTTGCAGCCCATAGACGGAGGACCCTGCAGGCTTCACGAGCGGAGACACGCCAAGGTACAGTGAGAGAGACTGTTTTTCTACAGCCAAGTGTTTCACACTTGCATGGTTCTTTGCAGGTATTGTGTTTTTCTTTTTATTTGTTTTTATCTATGTCTTTTTATTTTTATTTATTGCAAGGTCTGTGCCTCAGAGACATGCAAAGGCCCATGTAAGATTGCATCGGAATTCCAAGTGTCACGTTGGCGAGCAGCTGAGCTTCAAATCGCCCAGAAAGAAAGAAAGAAAATACATATATGTATATATACATATATATATACATATATATATATGAAATGATTCCATCATGATGTAATATGATGTAATATGAATATATCATAATCATAGATGGTGTTTCATGAGACCCACATGATATCCCAGTCTGAACGATTCACACCTCGGATTCACACGGACATAGCGAGGGATCTCTTGCCGGATGGCACCAGTAAAGACCTCAACTCGGGTCGGTCGTTGTGCAATGAAACCTGTTTTTTGCCACGCTTGTGTCCTGAATCCAAAAAGATAAAGCGTAACAAAGACACAACCGAAATTGGAATGATGGAATGATTGAAACGAAAGTCTTTCATCATGATTACCCCCGGCTGTTGCCAAAAGGGGGGTGGAACCCCTAAAAAAATAAAATAAAATGCAGGGGCCTAAGGACAAAATGCCAATAAAATGAGAGGGCATAGGGTAAGATAGGAAAACCCAAGCAAAATACAATGGACAGGTACAAAAAGAATATGACGTCAGGCACCCTCCACCTGGCAACTGTTGGACCTCGGGCTCCGGCATTTTCTTTTGGGTTGATTTTGTTTAGTTTTGTTTCCTTATTTGATTGGTTTTAACCATGTTTAGTGTTGTTTAGTCTTGTTTAGTCCTTTACATTGTTTCCTTATTTGATTGGTTAATCATGTTTAGTCTTGTTTAGCCTTTTCAAGTGCCAACAGGAAGGAAAAATCGTGCGGATTTCGATCAATATAATATATATATAATTGGTTCCACTTCTGACATCTGGATGGTTTCTAGAAAAAATATAAATAAATATAAATAAACTGAAGAAATCTCATTGGTTGCTGTAAGCTGCCCGTGTGTCTTTGTTGGCCAAGGAAGGCAATAGAAAATGAGGGGGGCCAACCCATTTTCGAAGTTAATGTCCAAGTAATTCCAAATCTCTGGAACGTTTCACAAAATGATCAGACCGTTCACAGCTGTGCATCTTTGCTATCATGCTATCTCTGTCAGTTAACTTGATGGGTTAGGCACCTCAAAAAATAAAATCCACCCACAAAATAAAATGCTGGGGTCTAACCCACTTTATTTTCAATTTATTTATATATTTGTTATTTTAAAAGGGGCTCCTGCCCCCTCATTCTATTTTGGTACCCCAGACGGGGGTCATGATTCTGGTAGTTCCTAACCTCTTCATCCCTTTTCTCCTTGAGTGATTGGTGGTTTCTCCTCATTCAGTGGCAGATCAAAGGCAACCCCACCTCTTTGGGGACACCATTGGCATCTAGGAATTGCAAGAACTCCTGCACGTGCTATGGGAGTTGTCACTTTCTTATGTCATCTCTCCTGCGATGACAAAAGCAGGGTCAGGTTTCCGTCTGCTTCGCTTTCAGTGCTTTCTGATTGTAAATATGTTGCCTCAACCAGATGGTCACCACCAACCCTCAGATGTTCATTCTGCTTGACTACGCGAACAGGTCAAAATTCTCGGCTCCCATTGGAATTCAACAAGTAACCCCCAGCAATACGAGGTCAGTGGAACACCTTTAGGTAGGAACTCAATTGGGAACATGACCTCGGAACTGGTCCCATGTTTGACTTCCTGCTACCGTTGACTCACTCACTCGCTATCCCTGTCCTCAGGCAACGAGCCAGGCACTTGGTCGGCAGCTTTGTCGCCCTGCAGGGATGGTGTGGGCATTCCTAAGCCCTTCAGAGTGGCTGAGGGGAACACAATCCATGGAGATAAATGGAATTTCTATGGATCCCAATATTATATCGATTTGTTAAGAGAGACATAAGTGGAGCTGAAAATCTCTATCAATGAATTTCTCTATCCTTACACCCCCTAGGCCCTAGGCGGATACCTAGGGGAAAAACTTCACGGGGGCCGAAACATCTATCTCTCGTGTTTCGGCTGATCCCTGATAACCCCCAATACCTCGAAAGTCCCCGAGAACGATAAACCCCTGTTGGCATTCATAAAAAATCGAAGTGTTCAATGAATTCATGTTCCCCCATTGTTGAAATGGTGATGTTTCCATTTAAAAGCAGCCCCACAAGAATCAAGGGTCCAGTCGGGTCCAGATTCACATCGCATCAGCCTCAGATTCACCTTCTGCCATGGTGACCGCCGACACTGCGTTTCTCACCCTGGATTCATCTGTTAGGATGGACGCTCCAAACTTTCTGACACGATCTTTTTGCATTTGTTGTGGTGCAAAACCTAGAGTTTGCAGCGGTTGAAACTTCGAAGGCAATGTCAAATATTCAGCTTCACTTCATTTATCCAGTTGCATTTTTTTAAAGTATTGTTTGGATTCGTTGTCCTATCCGAGACTGCTCACCTCTCAACATGTTATTCCCTGCAACATGGGATGTCTCTCGGTGATGAGCACCACCTGGCGTGGTGTCAAGAGCCTGAAATTGCGCCATTAGAAATACCCTGGTTGATTCAGTCAACCAATTTAGTATATAAATGACTGCTATGAAAATACTTAGTACCCAAGAATGATAGTCATTAATAATACTTAGTACAAGAACCTAACAACCAGTAGAATGAACCTCCTCTCCTGGGAGTCAGCTTGAAAACTCCCCGCAATGGAACATGGGTGTGTCTAAAGATGGCGTGTACCTTAACATAGCCTTTCCGATAGGGGAAAGTCATGACCAAGCATTGGATTTTGTTGGGGTTTTCCCCTAAATTATCAGACAAATCCTCGCAAGCTGGAATCTGAGCCCTGTCGTACCTCTTTTTGCACCAAATAACTTCACTTGGTGAAGTCGCAAGTGCAAACAAAGAAGACACTAAAAGTAAGCCAACCCAGATGAGGTTCGGTGAAATTTAGTTGACCTTGCAAATGCCAGAAATATCCAGTTTTTTTTTGCGGGCAAAAAAAAACAGTAAAACCTATTTGAATTTCAGCCATGACTGGGCTTGGATCAATTTATATCCTTGCTCCGTCTCTCATTACCAGAGTTACAAATGTTGCTCTTCACCGAACCACATTGAGTTATTGTCACTTGGTGACCATCGGACCTCAAAGGCACTGATTCAGTCGAAGATTCAGCTGCAAATTGGGGTACATTTTCCAGTACCATCGTGTAGAACTGTTTTTTCGCATTGAACCTTACGATGACCCTAACCAGTGATGCCCACATCTCTCAGATTCACCGGCCACTTCTGATAGGGAAGTTCCTGACAGGACCAACTGAGGCTTCCCCAGGCTTCGAAGGTTTCTACCCAGGCCCCTGCTTCCGTCTTCAGCACAAAAGATATATTATAGACATTTTACATATAATATATAGACATTTTACATATAATATGTATATATATATGTATATATATATGTATATATATATATAAGTATATATATATATGTATATATATATATATGTATATATATATAAGTATATATATATATGTATATATATATATATGAGTGGCGGACAAAATTACTTACTACCCGCAATGGACATGGCCAAAGTGGGTGGTCCCCTATTGGTTGTGAAGGTGTGTACTTCCATGCTGTGTGTGTAGAAATAGGGTATCGGCAAGTGGGTAGTCCCCTATCGATTGTGAATGTTTTCGCACAAATTTGAACATCCCATGTCCACTCCCCACTACTTTGGTCTTCCGCTAATTTTGTCCAGGCCAATGGAGCACGTCAGTGTCACGTTCAGGGACAAACTGCGCGTCATCACAACTAAGATGGGAGCGTCCCAGTGTCGCATTACTAGAATCAATAACCTGGTCCCGGTACGAAATTACGAAAGATCATCATCTCAGGGTTGTGGCACATCCTTGCTTTCATCCAATGGCAAGTCTCCACAATCCATCGCTCCACACCTTGACGAGTGCCCACTAAAAGGAGCCTCGTGAGGTCACCATGCAGGGACTTGTGGCAGAAGCGACTCTCGAAAGGAAACTTCGCCTCGTTCAGGACGTCTGTTCCAATGGATTCAAAGTCGTGGCAGGACGAAAGAACATTGGTCACATTGGTCACGGTCAAAGGGATCGATTTCTTGACACGGAGGCACTGGCTGAAGAAAAGAAGCGGGGTGCTGATACAGAAGGGTGATCCATTTCCTGAGGCATTGGCCAGATTTTTTTTCGTGCAAATGCCTGCCGCCGAAGTGAAGTTGATAGCTCCCATACGGCGCGGCCATAGGTGATACATACTGAGGTCCATCCACCCGCCACGAAGAGTGTAATTGTAGCCGTTCATGAGTTCTTCTTCGCTGCAATTGGGAGGCTCAGGCAAATGGTAGCCAGCGGCAAAGGTGCTCAACAGGAGGGTGGTGAAGAGCATCATGGGCGATGGCGGGGAACAATCTACTTTGATTGCTGAGGACTGGGGATACCTAAATTCACCACTTGGGAAGAATATAGCAGTAGCATCTACGCAATGGTTGTTTATCTTCCCAGACTTTACCATCTCAAAGTACTGCTTTTGCTTTTCTTCAAATGTGCCCCTTGGTTTTCCTATCCCTTTCTTTCAAAAATCTCTCCAACTTTTTCTTTTCAGCTTCCTTGTCCTCAGCATCTTTACATTCTGTAAGTTCATTCAACTTAGCAAAGATTGCTCTTTGGTTGTCGCTAATATTTGTTTACCTTTTCCCATATTTGGAGCCGACCAAAAACTGGAGGTCCCCGACACAGGACCGCTTTTCCTTTTGCTGCGCCTTGGGAATTTGAACAATGGGACGGGAGGAAGGGACAGAGCATTGCGGAAATGAGCCATTGAAATTGGAGGAAAAACATCACACATCTAGTTTTAGAACATCTTAAGTATGTCTTCCTGCATCTTTCCATCAGTGCTTTTCCAAGTGGACTCAATGAAGTGAGAAAAATTGTGCTCAGGGGTCTGTTGCTTCAAACCCCAACTTTGCAGGAATACCCACTCCTGCTGACCGGTAAACACCTATTCTGGAAAGCCGTGAACCGAATGAGGGAAACCCAAGAAACAGCCCCAATCCCCAATTCTGGTTTGGTATTGGGTATACCCCTAGTAATGCGATGAACAAAAATGAGCCTCCGACTGTGGTTGCTGGGATGGTCGCTATGCCATTTGGTTCACATCAAAATGCTTTGCTGATTACCAAAACATACGAGTGTCTATGTATATAATATATGCAATATAATATATATATATAGTAATCCCAAAAAAGGTAGATAGAAAAGCAACGGATCACCAATTTAGCGGGATTTGACTCTTCTCTCTTTTTGGGAGTTGTTTTTTTTTCCAGTCAGCTTCACCATTCCATCACCTCCGCCATGGCACCATTCCATGATGCAAGGCCGCTGGACCTCAATGACCCGCCTCACGGTTTTGTTTTGACCAAAACATGGAGATTGAAACAACCATTGTTCGCAACCAAGACGGTTGGCAACCATACTACCTTTGGTAGATATTGTTTCTTTTCTTTGCTCGCAAGCGTCTTTTCTGACGCATTGAATCATTGTTCTTTGAGTGATCACCTCGCAAGCGGATGTCATCTAGGGATTTTGTCTCTGCTCATGGGTTTATGGCCAATGTTCCGGACATGTCATCGCATGGTATGGATCAGCCTTGAATCGGATATCAGCAGGAAATCTAAGCTGGCTAGCTGGAAACTCCCGGTTTATAGATGATACCCCAAACCTTACAACCCCCAACATACACACATCAACCCCGGCAAACATCAAACATTTCATAACAACTAACCAAAAACACCCAATCCACAAGCAGTCAGAAAAACTAATCACATACCCCAATCAAAAAAGAACTCCAACTGTCCAACAAGACTTGTCTTGTTGAAAAATTGACTGCCTAGATTTATGAAACAACATCAGCCTAAAACAATACCCCCATAAACCAGAACAGAAACTCACCACAAAAAACATCACAAAACCAATCAGAACAACTAACCACAAACAACCAACCCACAAGCAATCATAACAGCTAACCACAAATAACTAATCAAACAAATCATCCAATACACTCCCATTTTTTCAACAAGACTTGTCTTGTTGAACATTTGTGCCCAGAATTATGAAACAATGTAATGATAAACCATTTCCCCATAAATCACAACAACGCCTCATCACTTTTTGCAGAGCAACTACGTCACTACGTGGTCAGCGTCAAGCTGGGAACCTCTCATCCCGTGGCAAAAGAAAGCAATGGAGCACGCCAGTGTCACGTTCAGGGACAAACTGCGCGTCATCACAACTAAGACGGGAGCGTCCCAGTGTCGCATTACTAGAATCAACCTGATCCCGGTACGAAATTACGAAAGATCATCATCTCAGGGTTGTGGCACATCCTTGCTTTCATCCAATGGCAAGTCTCCACAATCCATCGCTCCACACCTTGACGAGTGCCCACTAAAAGGAGCCTCGTGAGGTCACCATGCAGGGACTTGTGGCAGAAGCGACTCTCGAAAGGAAACTTCGCCTCGTTCAGGACGTCTGTTCCAATGGATTCAAAGTCGTGGCAGGACGAAAGAATATTGGTCACATTGGTCACGGTCAAAGGGATCGATTTCTTGACACGGAGGCACTGGCTGAAGAAAAGAAGCGGGGTGCTGATACAGAAGGGTGATCCATTTCCTGAGGCATTGGCCAGATTTTTTTTCGTGCAAATGCCTGCCGCCGAAGTGAAGTTGATAGCTCCCATACGGCCATGTCGGTCCAGGTCGCGCGGCCATGTGTGATACATAGTGAGGTCCATCCACCCGCCACGAAGAGTGTAATTGTAGCCGTTCATGAGTTCTTCTTCGCTGCAATTGGGAGGCTCAGGCAAATGGTAGCCAGCGGCAAAGGTGCTCAACAGGAGGGTGGTGAAGAGCATCATGGGCGATGGCGGGGAACAATCTACTTTGATTGCTGAGGACTGGGGATACCTAAATTCACCACTTGGGAAGAATATAGCAGTAGCATCTATGCAATGGTTCTTTATCTTCCCAGACTTTACCATCTCAAAGTACTGCTTTTGCTTTTCTTTAAATGTGCCCCTTGGTTTTCCTATCCCTTTCTTTTCAAAAATCTCTCCAACTTTCTTCTTTTCAGCTTCCTTGTCCTCAGCATCTTTACATTCTGTAAGTTCATTCAACTTAGCAAAGATTGCTCTTTGGTTGTCGCTAATATTTGTTTACCTTTTCCCATATCTGACTTCTGAGGTTATAATCCACTTCCTGAGGTTTCATAAGATATATAACTATTTAGAAATTTCTAAATATGTGTTTATGTTTATTTAAAAGTCAATTATCAATTAATCCATGTCATTTATTGAACATATCCGGTGATCCGGGATACCACCTGTTGTTGGTATCGGTTCAGCGGCCTGTCGGATCCAAGGAACACGGCCACCTCGAGGCACACAGGATATTTTTTCGGTTCACCATAGATTCGATGAGAAAATCATTGGGACTTTCAACAGGGTCAATCAATCTTTGGGATATCGATGGACAGTTTACAAAGTTTACAACAAACTCTTTCATGTGGTCAACATTTTTTCTCAATTCCGGCTGTGCAAGTGCTGATATGGACAGTGAGACGATCCCGGATCTGAAAATGACCAAATCAACAATTGCTTAAAGCCGATTTCTAAAAAAATGAAAACTTGAGCAAAAAACACCAGTTTCAGCCCGGGTGCCTTCACATCATCCGAAAAAGTACTAAGGGCCCCTACTCAAAGAGTCCAGGCCCCACTGCGTCCGGAATTTCTCCAAATGTCGGCAGGATGCGTCGTGGGTGCACCTTAACAAGTTTGGCATTAGGTGCCCCGTGGACACCCACAAAAACGAAGATACATGTATACAATTATCAGCAAACGTATTCATGTACAAATGTATAATCACATGTGTACGTATATACGCATCATTACATATGTATATATATATATATATTATATATATATACATATATCCACACTGGCAAATGCATGCAAATGCCAAAACAAAATTGTGTGTAAAACGGAAAGGCATATGAACATGTATCCAATTGTACATTCGATAAAAACATAAAACACATTGTTGATAAATACAAAACATCTGAATAGACGCAAATCACTGCAAAGTTGTGTGCATCAAAGGACATTTAGAAAGAAACTTCTGGGTTAGGAACGCCTGAGTTCAGGAATCCAGTTCATATCCCATGCGCTGCATCATCCACTGCAGAACCAACTTATTGCCACATTTCATGACATAGCAAACTGTTTTTTTTCAGACATTTCCATAATTCCATCATTTTCCATACATTTCCATAGACATCTTTAGACACTTTGTATACCCTCTGGTAAACTAACATAGCTATTGAAAATGGCCATTTATAGTGAGTTTTCCCATGAAAAATGGTGATTTTCCATTGCTATGTTAGTTTACCAGAGGGTAACTTCAAACTTCAGATCTGAGCTCCCACACTCCGCATCCACCAGCACCCGGTCGCAGCTTTCGTTCCTGTCGGCCCTGTCGGCCGTGTCGGCCGTGGCCGCCGCCGTTTCGGCCTGGGATGGTCCTGATGTTCGTCCGGAGGTTCGTCCTTATCTATCGTTATTTCTCATGTTCCTGATGATGATGATGATGATGCCAATGGTTAATACTGGCTATTAATGGTTATTAATGGTTATCAATGGTTGATGATGATGATGATGATGGTTCTCTATCCTTATTTATCCGTATTCCATCTTATTCCCATATCCCATCTCACCAGAGTGCCCCAATGCTATACGACTTCACTTTCGTCACTTGGTCACAAGAGAGTTGCATCACCTCCGGCAGAGATGGCCTTTGCTTTCTCCTCGAAGCGCCGTTTGCGACCACGTTGACCGCGCCTGAGGGACTGAGATGATCCTCATGCCCGCGCCGTCGTGTCTTAGGATGAGAAAAAGGGCCGTGTTGATGGTGTTGAGGTATGACAAGGAACATTCCTAGCGAGAGATTGTTTGGATGTATTGTGGCTACACCTGAACTTCTGCTCAGCTTTCTGGGGAATCTGGTCTTAAAACCCTTGGCTGGGAACATCGCACTCTTGGGAAGTTTGACTCTTTGGGAACCTTGTGCCTTTGCTCAGACCTCCTGTTTGGAAGCCGGAACCTTGCCTTTAGGTTCGAAATAAATTTCAACAAGCACAGCAAGCAAATGATAGACCGCTTGAAAAACCAGGAAATCACAATGTCAGTGTTCCAGCAGTTTATCTCAGTCATCCTCACTAGAAAGACATGGCATAACCGGCATAGTCCAAACAAGGGAGAATAGAAGAAGCCAACTAACGCACAGTGGAGGATAGCAGTATTCCCAAAGGTTCATCATAGACAATCCTGTATTTTAGCAATAAACCCCGCACACCTTCAGCACCTTCAGCGGCCAGGAGGCAACAGCAATAGAAGCCACAAAGCGGGGACACGGAAGCATAGGCACAGCATTTGTCAGCTTTGATGATTTGGAACGTTGAATGTATAGACTATGATACCAACAATTAAAGAACTGAAACAAAATTGTGGTTTTCAAATGAAACGACAAAGTTGAGAAGTCAGGTGAGCCAATGTAAACAAAAAACAACCTACAAAGTTTCTGCAGTGGGAAGGAGTTCCCAATGGGCATGGATCAATGAGAAAACCCTTCCCTTAAAAGAGATGCCGAAAGAAATGCTTAGTGGGATCGTCCTTCCTCACAAGATCCAAAGCCAAACAAGATCGGAAAAATGGAAAAAATTGAAAAAAACTATCATTTTTGCTGAGAAATGGGAGACCGCCCCGATAGGGTAGGGGTCCCCCCCTTCTTCAAGGGGGGAGGGGCTTCTTGAAGGAGGGGGGTGGCTTCTTCTTGAAGGGGATGGGGGCTTCTTCTTTCCTCTCTCTCTCTCTCTCTCTCTCTTGCTCTCTCTCTCTCTACTTCTTTCTGTGTCCATCTCCTCCTGTCCAGAAACATGGAATGCTTTGCGGGGGGAGGCGCTGCGCCCTCCCCCGCGCCCCCCCCCCGCTTTTTTTAATACACCTCCTTCTCCGCATCCTTCCACCTCGTCCTGCTCCTCTTCCTCCTCCTCCTCCTCCTCTACTACTACTACTACTACTACTAGAAGCTCCCCCCTTCTTAAAGAAGAAGCCCCTCCCCCCTGTGATTTCTTTTTGTTTACGTGTCTACACAATGCAGTCATGCATGTTGACATGTACACTTAATTCATATCTTTCATGCGCACTCCGCATGGCTCAAGACTAGCAGCAATTCCGCAGCATAGAAAAGTGTCCGCCTGCCACTGCTTGACACAGGTGTTTAGGATAGTGTTCCAGGGCTCCCTTAAAGGGGAAAGCTACCTCAAAGTGGTAGCGGAGCCTGTGCCTTCGCCAAGTCTAGATCCGTGTGCCGAACTGCCGTTCTCTGCATACATTCCGTATATCGGACTTGCGGAGGCAACCTGTAGGTCAAGTTAGAGTAGCTGCCATGGTCTTAATCCACAACATGGATTCAGATGAAGAACAACTCCAGATTGTCTCTTATGAAGAGCCTGAAGCATATGCCGCCACCAGTCATTCCGAAAACCGGATGGGCATCAAAATGACACCGAAGGTTCCACCCCAATTTGATGGCCAATCAAGCTGGTTTGAATATGAAGATTTAATTGATGACTGGTTAGGGATCACAACATTGGATGCAGATAAACACGGACCATCATTAAAGAATGCCCTCATTGGTTCCGCTTCTTTTTATAAGTCGATGCTCGATAATGCCTTACTCCGAGATCCGGATCGTGGCCTCGCTCATTTCAAGGACACATTGAGACCATACTTCGTGAAGGGAGTGAATCATGTGTTCCTTTGGCGATTCCTCCAGATGTTTCGCACATATCGAGGCCAGAGTGAATTCGTGCACTGGATAGGGCGATTTGAGATCGCGCAGAAGCGTTTGTTGGCTTCTTGGTCCGATCTGCTGGACATATCCGATCTTCCCGAGGCCGGCACTCAGGCATTTACGGCAGCACTCACAGATGAGCAAAGACTGCACTATAATGGAATAGTAACAGATGAAGATAAGCTAGCTTATCAACAAGAATTGAGAGAACAGACCATAACCAATAGAAGGACCAGACATGCACAGCAGTTTCCATTGTCAGACAATTTGATGTCACTGATTTTTCTAGTGCAAGCAGACCTCAACGAGCAACAACGAGAGCGTTTTGTCTCGTCCATGAACATCCGTCAGATCGCAATGCCTCAATACACCTATCTCCAAGTGAAACAGCTGTTCTTAGAACTTTTTGCCGTTTCTCGCACAGGTGTTGCAGACCCAAACATCACGCACCGCAAGCGGTCCAACTTCTACGTCATCGACGAGGGCGAGACCGAAGAAGGTGAGTACGGATTTTGGGTCTTCGATGAAGAGACGGGTGAAGAAGGTTTCACAGGTCTGTACACCGAGAACGAGTTCTGGGTTCTCAGCGCCAAGGGTTCATACTCTAAGCGCCGCATCTACGGCAGGTCCTTCAAGAAAGGTAGACCAAAAGGTTATGGCAAGAAAGGAGGAAAAAGATCAAGACCCGGCTTCCGCTCGAGGTCAAAAGGCAAAGGTTTTGCAGCATGGGAAGATGACCAGCAAGACACAGCTTTCTGGGGAAAAGGCAAGGGCAAAGGAAAAGGTAAAAAGGGCAAGAAAGGAATGATGAAAGGAAAGGATTCTTTCAAAGGAATGCCTTCATGGAAAGGAAAAGGAAAAGGTGATGCGAAGAACAAAGGAGGAAACAATCCATTTTTGTCACAACCTCCACAAGCTAATGTAGCACAGGCTGCAACATCCAGTGCATCACAAGCCCCTGAAAAACAAGAAACAGCCCATGCCGAAGAAAGCTGGAGTTATGACTATGACACATACTGGACAGACGACTGGTCAGGTTATGACTCCTACTATGGATATGACGGAGATTACTCCCAAGGTGATTGGTACAATTGGTCGTATTTTGCTTCCACTGAGGAACTGACCGAATCCGAGGACAAGCATTCAGACGTCATTTTCGAGGACGGACAGACCGACAAGATCAACCGGTTCTGTTTTTCAGGCATCCGCTTGTTCCGATTGTTCGGACACGAACTTGTAGGGGCTCTTATATTCGTGCTTCTGTTCGTGTCTGTTATGTACCAGTGCTTTTCTGATTTGAACAGGTCCTTATTGAAGAGCATCCGCCAAGTTGAGAAGAGTGTTTCTACCGAAAACGGTGATCTGCATTCGTTTCAGCCGCGCACAAGCCCGCTCAATTCCGTCTCAACGGAAGAGTGTGTATTCCTCAATTATGATCATGGTGCCCAACAAGCATTGCTCTGTGAGTATGTAGATTTAGGTTCTCATCCGACTTATGTCATCCTTGACTCAGGTTGCACTCGAGCCATGGGATCCCGCTTTGCCATTGATCGCCTTGTACAGGCTTGCCAACAACATCCCAAGCGTGATCACATCTGGTTTTCTAAGCAACCGTGTTCAAGTAAGTTTTCATTTGCCAATGGAGAACAATCTACTGTCAAGGAAAGATTAGTGATTCATTTTCGCAATGATCGTGCACAAACTGGTTGGATCACAACATGCGTTGACATCCTGGACAAAGGTAAGGTTCCTATCCTCTTTTCAGTTGAACAAATGAGGAATCTTCGCATGAACATTGAGCACACTCCTGTAGGTGAGTTCATGACTTGTCCACTGTTTGGAATGCAACGCACCGCATTGGCGGTCAGTACATCCAACCATCCAGTCCTTGACATTATGGCTCTTGCTACTTCCAGTTGGAAAACGATGTACAGCTTTCAGTCCGAAGACATCACATGCCCAGCATGTAATGGTAAACATCGACCACACACCAACAAGGAAGGTTGCAAGAGATTCAAGGGATCAGAGCCTAAGCCAGCAGAGGTGCCGAAACCGGCCAAGCCTGATTCTAAGAAGATTGCCAAGAAGATAATTCAGCCTGATAGCAAGTTAGAAGTACCAGCTCAACCTTTTCTTGATCCTGATGAAGAGCCAATGGTGGCCTCTGGACCAAGTTCCGGTTCAAAGGACGGTATCCCAAGACGTCGGGAACCTCAGATAGAAGAAGAACCTGAAGTCAAACCGGAACCAAAGGTTGAAGTAAAACTTGAAGAGAAAAAGGAACCGTCACCTAAGGGAACTTTGTCACTAGCACTTCAGAGAATTCATGATAAGCTTCAATCACCCACTGAACTTCTCAAGTTGCACTTGAAGCATTATCACATGACCACTGAACAATTCAAGAGAAGAACATCGGCTCTGAAGTTACCAAAAGAAATTTATGACAAGTTTGATCAGATCACCAAATCATGTGACACATGTTCCACTGCCAGGATTGCACCATCGAGAGCTAAGGTTTCAGGAATCCGAAGTGAAGTCTTTGGTGAACTTACCTTCATTGATCATGGAGAAGTTCCTATCAATCCTCAGTCAAAACTTCAATTCCTACTTATGTATGACGGTGCAACTTCTTTGACTACTGCCTTTGTAGTTCAAATCAGATCTGATACGGTGACGATATCTCATCTTCAAGAATACTTTGAAACTTATCAGCTGAATCCAAAATACATTGTTGCCGATCAAGCTTTCATGGGCACTGAGATGGAGAGTTATTACAACCGGCACAGCATCAGGCCAATCTCTCTAGGACCAGGAACACCATGGCCAAATCGAGCTGAAGCAGCCATTCGCATGTTTAAGAAACAGGTCTCATTAATGCTAATCTCCTTGAAAGATGATCCATTGCTTGCCAACATTACTTATAAACAGTTGTTGAGACAAGCCTGCATTTCAAGGAACACCATGGTAACACTCGGTGGTGTCACTC